TCGTGCCGTGGAACCACGCTCCTGTTGTCGATCGCCGCGCACCTCCGGCCTTCGCTCCACCATCCCTCAGATCGCGCCGCGCCCTCACCGCCAGCCGCACCCCGCGTCCCCTCCGGCCCGCCGATCCGTCCGCGCCGTCCCCGCCCCCCCGCCCGCCGCGATGGTGCAGATGCGGACGGTGCTGCGCGTGGCGGACAACTCGGGCGCGAAGACGGTGCGCTGCATCAACATCCTGCGGCGGCGGCGGCAGCGGCCGTCGGGCAACGTCGGGTCCGAGCTGGTCGTGTCGGTCACGGCGAACGACCGCTCCGTGAAGACGAAGAAGGTGCGCAAGGGCGAGGTCCACCGCGCGCTCGTCGTGCGCGCCAAGAACGAGCCGCTGCGTCGCGACGGCGGCTTCGTGCGTACGGGCGACACCGCCGCCATCCTGCTCAACGCCGACGGCACCGCCCCCGTCGCCACCCGCATCCGCGGACCCGTCTCCGCTGCCCTCGACCGCAAGCGCTACCTCAAGGTCCTCTCGCTCGCGCGCGTCAGCTTGTTCTCTACCGCCGCCGCGCACACCCCCAAACCCCGCGCGGGACTCGCCCACGCAGAGACCCCAGGCCCTGAGCCCGCGCGCCCTGCCTTCGCCGGCCGCCATCGCGGCGTCTGGCGGAGATACCACTAAAACAGACGCCCCGAGAGACCCCGAGATGCGACCCGTCGATATGCTAACATGTAAACCGAAAAATACAATGCTAACCACACTTGCTTCGAATGGGACACCCCCATCTCGCTATTTTCGTAAACCTCAAAAGCCTTCAACCTCTACTACGATAAACGGGCAGCGTCTAATACTACGGCTTACCAAGCAATGAGAAAAAACAGCTCTTGGTATAGGCATCAACAGCTGGACACCTCTATACCTCTATGTACACGGGAGAGAGAAAAAACACAAACGCACACACAAACGCCCCCACCCGGCTCGCCCCTACCCGGCTCGCCAGACACGCCCCTCCTCCCTCTACAACATGAAAGACGTAGACAGATCGAAGGGGTGCGACGTCGAGAACTGCGGCACCTGCGTCATCTTGGCCGCCCTCAACTTCTGACGCATCGTCTGCAGCAGCTGCCTGTAATTATAATTCCTCCAATCCCCCACCGTCGAGTGCTCGAGCGTCTCGATCAAAGCGAACGTCATCGCCCCCGTGGGCAGTCCGCCCGTCAGCTTGCTGGTATCCGCGGACGTCTGATTGTCCTTGCACCCCGAAAACAGCAGCACCTCCCCGGCGTTGGGATCCGGTCCCGGTGTCTTCTTCTTCTTCTTGCCGCCAGTCGCCATGTTGAACCCGGCGTTCAACGCCCCGCTCGCGCTGCCATTCAACAGAGCCCCGGCCACGTTCAATAGTCCCGACGTCAAGCTCATACCTTTCCCTCCCGAGATCCGCTGCCCGCTGCCCGTCCCAAACACGTCATGCTGATAAGGCAAGTCCAGCCCGGTCCCGGAATGGCACGCATCCAAGAGCACAGTGAGTCTCGCGCCCCTTGCGACGTGCCTGACAATCTCGTACAGCTCGTCATCAATAATGTGCCCTGCGCGCTTATGATCGACAGGGACAATAGTCTCGTCGAACCCGTCGCTCTCGTCGCCGGACACGTCGCGCACCTGGGCGCCGTGGCCCGAGAAGGAAAACCAGAGACTGTCACCAGAGCGGGAGCCGGAGACGAGCCACTTGAGCGAGTCGAGGATGACGCGGCGGGTGGGCGGCCCCTTGCGCACGCCGGGGATGTTGACCGACTCGTCGGTGAGGACGACAAAGTCCTTCTTGCGGAAGCCAAACTTGGACACGAGCAGGTGGTGGACGAAGGTGACGTCGCGCACGCAGCCGCGCAGCGCGGAGCTCGTGCCGCGGTAGTTGATGCCGACCAGTAGCGCCTTCCTGCGCCCGGACGGGCGGAACGGGCTCGTCATGTGTGAGGCGGACTGTGCTAGCGCGGGGGGGCCGTGCGGGTTGTACGACGGCTGCGGTGGGTGGGCCGGGTAGGGTTGCTGCGGGGCGTAGGGGTGCTGAGGGGGGTGAGGCGGCGGCGGTGGCGGCGGGTGGAAGGGCTGAGGGGGGTAGGGGTTCTGGGGCTGGGCGTACGGGGAGTAGCCGTGCGGGGGACGGTAGCCGGGGGGGTAGGGCTGCGGTTGGGGAGGGTAGGCGGAGGACGGGTAGAGATGGCCGCGTGGCTTGGAGGCGTTGTTTGCGTTGATGCGACGCGAGTACTCAGGGTCGAGAGTGCCGTCGGGGAACACGCCAGGATTTGACATTGAGTGGAGGGGGCGGTGGGAGGGGGGGGGGGGGGGGGGGGTAGAAGAGGTGGGAGCGGTGAAAATGAATTTTTGTGCTGTTGTTGGTGGACCATGGGAGGAACGGCGGGCGGCTCTTGTCATGTTGTGGACAGTTGGCCAGGCGGAGGGGAAACTCGCGAGGAGGGATGAATTGTTTATGTTTTTCGAGCGGGAGTCCGGCAACGAGGACGCCTTCTTCCACAGCGACAATTGCGAAAGCGTTGCCCACGTTGTCCGCACAAAGCGCCACCTGACTCGCGTGACGGAGAAACCAAACATAATCGCGCTTCTCATTGCACGCAATTAACTAGCTCACGCCCTGTACCCCGAGTTGAACACCGCCATGCTCTGCTTGAACCGCGCCTTACGCGTGTAGTAGTTCTGCCCGCCGACCGACAGCTGGAACCGTTGATCCCTGCGAGTCTCCCTCCGCATCTTCTTGACTGCGACCGCGTCCCTTCCCTTCCCCTCCCACCCCAGCAGGCGGTATTCCCGCATCACCCTGTTCGCCACCACGGCCGCGCGCTCGTCCACGTGCCCGCCCGCGCTCTGTTCGTAATACCTGCGCAGCGACCTGTGCCCGAGCACCTTGCCGTTAACCGCCAGCCCCACCTCCTCCGCGTTCACCTCCTCGCGCTCCACCACCTCGCCACCGACATCCACGACCGCCCCTTCCTCCTCGCCGACCTCCTCCCACCCGTCGTCCCCTTCAAACTCGTAAAACTCCCCATACTCCGCCATCCAGTCCTCCTCGTCTGCCGTCATCTTGCAGTGCGCCTTGTCCCTCATATGCTTCCGCGCATCCGCCACCGCCCCGAACGCCCGATCACACTCCACGCACGCGTACCCCACTCCGACTTTCTGCCCCAAATACCTCATCAGCCCGTCCACATCCTTCAGCCGTTCTACGTACGGCACGAAGAACCCGTACCGCTTCGCCATGTACTTGATATTCTCCTCCACGCTCTCGTGCACGCTCTCATCAAACAGGCACTCCCGCCCCTCCAGCCCGCGGCTCTCCGCCAGCCTGCGCTCCAGCTCCATCTGCACAGCGGTGTCATCCTCCACGCCCGCCGCCCTCGCCTGCGCGCGCACCTCCCCCTCCTCCTCGTCCGAGCCGCCAATCGTCGACACCTCAACAGAGCCCGCGTCCCCTGATACGCGCATGCGCTCCAGGTGCCGCCGCGACTTGACGTGGTTCTCTAGCGCCTTCTCCGACGAGAACTTCTTCGAGCACGGCCCGCAGAACTTCGTTTCGCGCTTGCGCTGCTTCCCCTCCTCCTCGCTGCGCATCGCCGCCACGCGGATGGCGAGCTCCTCCTGGCTTAGGGGACCCAGACCGCCCACCTTGCGCTTCAGGTTCACACGATGCCAGTCTGAGCGGTAGTGCTCGCGGCGGGATGCCAAGCCGACCAGGCGCGACCGACACGCCATACACGTCACCACGGAGCTATCCGCGTCCATGGTGCAGACGGGGTTAGGGGGAACGGGTGGTGCCGGGCAGAGTGAGTTTCTGGTGGAAAGCTCTTAAGATGGGTGGGACAAGGAAGCGTCAAGGATGCTCAGATGGTGGTGGTGGAGGTGGCCGATTCGTCTTTTGTGGGCTATTCTGGCCGTCGTCCTTTCTGTGCTGGACAGCTGACACGTGTCAAGGTAAAAATAGGGCGGGGCGGCAACTGTACCTTCATGTCAATAATTAGCGTTCCTCGAAAATCGATGACCGGTATGATTCGCAGTTTGAACATATCATTCTCTCATCACCATGTCATGGAACATCCACCTCCAAGGCAAGGCCTAAATTATGATCTTAAACGGGTATACTGCACCGCAGTTGCTATGTTGCATGGTAAACGCTGGGCAATGAAAGGGGAGAACGGATTTGAGATTTTAAGATGTCTCGATGCTTTTCTTTATTACTCTACAATATCACTTGCTTGAAAAGATAACATGTTTTAAAGGACTGACAGCTAGAACAGTCGTCAATCCGTTCTTGAGCTATGTTACTTTTTACCGAGCACGTACACTGAATGCCATCGTTTCATCCATGAGGCAGAATTCGCAGATGCCCGGTGTAAGACTTCTCTCCAGACTACAGGTCAGTGTCGACAACACCCATCCTTGTAGTCACAAAGAAATGTCAATGAACAATGGAAGCTCAGGATGTTCTTGTCGTCCCTGCTGATACAGAGACAATTACATCTCTCTGTGGTCCACGAAAAGGGCATATCAGAGCACTGCCGGAAACGAAAAAAGAGAAGGAAGCGGAGCTCGTGGAAGCAAATATATAAAAGTACACAACCAGAGACAATTTAATTTGAGAAATGAGCAGTCACATCCTGTACAACCGTATCCCTTGCGCGCAAGGCGCGTTCGGCAAGTGAATTAGAAAACTGTTCACACCTCCTGCGAAGGGTCTGACTTCGACTTCTTACGGGGCATGAGGACGGTATGAATGTTAGGAATGACGCCGCCCGAAGCGATGGTGACGCTGCCGAGAAGCTTGTTCAACTCTTCGTCGTTGCGCACGGCAAGCTGGATGTGGCGCGGGATAATCCTCGACTTCTTGTTGTCCCGCGCGGCGTTGCCGGCGAGCTCCAGAACCTCGGCGGTCAAATACTCCATGACGGCCGCCATGTAGACCGGGGCGCCGGCGCCCACACGATCAGCATAGCCGCCTTTTCGCAGGAAGCGATGGATACGGCCAACGGGGAATTGAAGGCCGGCCTTCGAGGACCGCGTCTGAGAGGTCTTCTTGACTTTCTTACTGATTGGCGTGGACATGGTGGGTGTGAGTCGGAGATCAAGCTGAGTCGAGTTGAGGCTGCAGTGTGTAGAAGTTGGGAGTGGTGGTGATGGAGGAGCAGACAGGGGTGTGCGGGAAGAGTTTTATACGGTTTGGGAGACGGAGTGGGGGAGGAGGTGGGAATTCGAAAGAAGGAAGAGTTTTCCCGGTGGATGGGGGAATGGCGAGAGGGATGCAGAGGAAAGGCGAGTGAATGGCCGAAAATTTGATGAAAAACAGACGACAGAAATACGCGAAATGTATTGGTTCGTTCTCGTGTGCCCGCATCCTCCCTCCAGCGAGCTCGCGCGCCAATCACAAGGCGTTGCTGCGGTTTGGAACGCACAGCTTCAAAATTCACAAACGCGCGCGACGGACCCCGACACCCCTTCACGAGACGGAGGCGCGCGTCCCCGAATACCCCGTAACGATATAAGTAGCGCGCCCGACCACTTACTTCCCCACTCCTATCGCCCTCCATCTTCACAACATCTCTCCACACGCTTCGAACCCCCTCACGCTCTCCACGCTTCAGACTCCCACCTCACCGCACCCCACAAAAACTCCAGAACCACCTCGCAATGGCTCCGAAAGGTAAATCCGTCCCCGTCGCGGAGAAGAAGGTTGCGAAGAAAGGCATGTCCGGCTCTGGCGTCGAGAAAACAACTAAGAGGAAGAAGAGGAACGAGTCGTACTCCATCTACATCTACAAAGTGTTGAAGCAGGTGCATCCGGATACCGGTATCTCATCGAAGGCTATGAGCATCATGAACTCGTTTGTCGCCGATCTCTTTGAGAGGATCGCGTCGGAAGCCGCCAAGCTCGCCTCGTACAATAACACCAAAACTTTGACGTCTCGCGAAATCCAGACCGCTGTCCGCCTTCTTTTGCCAGGTGAGCTCGCCAAGCATGCCGTCTCGGAAGGCACCAAGGCTGTCACTAAGTACAGCTCGTCGTAAACTTGGACTCGCTTGGATTACTTGCCATTTGAGATGGTTCTTCCCGATGGAGCTGCGCTGCCATCGGTCTTTGTCTATTTTAACGGTCTGTTGAAGCTTTCGTAAACTGTACAAATGTTTCGTGATTACTCTGCATTACCTTGCTTTAGCCTGTTCCTGTAGTAAGATCCGTGCGCTCTCCGCCGAGCTCGCTCTTATCATCTCTTCAGCACCGAGCGACGTATGTGCGCATATTTTTGCCAGTGTACGTGAAAATGCAGAAAGCACTGATACCCCCAGCTTGTCCCACTGCTTCACCACCGCGATAGAGGGAAACGGCAGGTTGCGCATTTGTTGCTGGCAAGTGGCACCAGTCCACGGGCACTGATGCCATCTCGTGTGGCAAGATAAGGCCGCCTTACCCTGTGACACCATCGTCATTGTATTCGCACGGGATAGCAACCCGCTGAGCTCCATACACAATGTGACAAGGCAGGCGGCAAGAAAGAGGGAGAACGAAAAGTGACAGGGACACCTTTGTCCAAATACTTGTCGAGGTATCACCAGTTTTGCTGATGCAGTCGATGAGCTTGTAGTGCCTTCCCTTCCCAGACAGCGCATCTATGTAAGGAAGGGAGGGTTTGCTTTCGGACGGCTGCACTTTCGCAGTTTGTCGTTCAGAGTTAAGAAGCAGTCGGCGAGGTGCGAATGCATGCACGCGGTTTATGCGCAGAGGTTCATGCCGTTTCCAATAAAAACGCAATTGCTGCACTCTCTTTAAACTCTAGAGACCACACTACAAAAGTGAGGCAAAGTGTGGCAATGAAAAACAAGCGTTTGTGCTCATCCCGTTGCAATCGTGCTCCCCACCGAAGGGTTGTGTCCAAATAGGGCGCCCCGAGATCAAACTGGAAGAAATATGTGCGTTTCCTAAAAATTCTTTCAAGTTGAAACTTTCAACCCATCTCCGTCCCGCCCATGGGCCAACCGATCATTGATTGTCCTTCTTCTTCCCCATCAAACTCAACAATGACCATTCAGCAGCGAACCCCGGCATTCTCCACAAGCATTCCCCTCACAAACGCCCTCATCGCCTCCCACATCGCCTCCCCGTTCAACAGCACTCTCACGTCACACCGCCCCCGTCCCCCAACCCACCAGCATCCGAAAGCCACACGCTCCGCGACCATGTCGCACCCCGACATCCGGCGCCTCCAGCCCGGCGCCCGGTTCCACCAAGCGACGATCCACAACGGCACGGTGTATCTCGCCGGCCAAGTGGGGCGTGCCGCGGACCGCAGCACGTACGGCCAAACGGAAGAGATCCTCCGCAAAGTCGACGCGCTCCTCGCCGAGGCGGGCACGGACAAGTCGCGCGTCCTGTCGGCGACGGTGTGGATGACGGACATCGCGGAAGCCGACGAGATGAATCGCGCGTGGGACGCCTGGGTTGACAAACAGAACATGCCCGTGCGCGCGACGGTACAGTCGCGTCTCGTCGCCGACGACATCACCGTCGAGATCGGCGTCATCGCGGCCCTGCCGTCGCCGGCCAAGATCCTCGCGACAGACAAGGCCGCGGCGGCCGTCGGGCCGTATAATCAGGGCGTCGTGGTAGATGATGGCACAGTGTATGTGAGCGGGTGCATCGGGTTGCTGCCGGGCGATGGCGGCATGGTTGACGGCGGCGTGGAGGGGCAGACGAGGCAGGCGTTGGAGAACATCAGAGCGATTCTGAATTCGACGGGGGCCGGGCCGAACGATATTGTGAAGACTGGTATCTTGCTGGATGACATGGCGGATTTTGCAAAGGTCAACGCTATCTATAAGGACTTTTTCGGAGCAGGAGATGTGCCCGCGCGCTCGTGCTTTGCGGCAAAGGAGCTGCCAAAGGGGGCTCTCGTCGAGATTGAAGCTACTGCTAAATTGCCTTATGTGTGACGCGGTGCGGGAGCACATTTTGTTGTCAGACGGTTAAGGAATGGGATGGTTGCGCGCAGGGCGATCTGATCAAAACGCTTTGGACGCTCGGTCGCACTGAGGCCGACTAGCCATGAAGACAGATGTGTACGTCACTTGCGACATGAAACCTGAACTGCACAAGACAGGACGTGCCTCGCATGTCGACCTACAATTGCCCTCGTGGTTCTACTCTGATAGTGGCGGGCATGTTGTCGATGGGAATTGATCCTATGCGACTCACATGCTGGTCCTACATTGCTTAGAGTAGTCCCCTTGAGCCGAAATTTTGAAAGTTGCGGCGCGTGTGATCCTTGAAGGCGACACCGTTGATTGAAGATGACTCTTTTTCTCGCGATCAACAAGCATCTCAGCCTAGTAGTTGCCGTTAGATGTTTTTGTCTATGGGGATAGACGAAGGCACGAGATAAATGTCGTGAAGCGTGAGCTTTACTCGTAGAGGAGGTAGGGGTCTGCCAGAGCAGACGAAGAGGCAAAGTGAAGCCATTTACTGAGACGCATTAATTTATTGAAACGCCTGGCCGCCGTTGGCCACGGATCAAAAAAACCCACTCCTTAATTCGGCACGGCATCGCCTTCGCCAACTTCTCCACTCACCTCGCGGACGGTTTCTGCACCCGCCTTGGTTGCCGCATGCTCCACCCAAGTACTGAGCAGAGACGGACGCGATGAGATACGGACCGCTGTGCCGCGTGACGGCCGCGCCGAAACCCAAGACAAGCGAGGCACACAAGCGCAGCGACGGGCGCACGGGTTGGGAAGAGCTGCGGCCAGTTTTCCTAAAGGCGTCATTCTTGTCCTCCGCGGCCGGTTCGGCCTACTTCGAAGCCGGAGGCACAAAAGTGTTCTGTGCGGTGCACGGCCCACGCGCGTGGGCGAGCTCGTCGATCGACGCAGTAGTGCACTGCGAGGTGCGATGGGCGCACTTCTCGGGGCGGCGCGAGGAGACGCGGACCGCGGCGGGGGGCGAGCGGTCGCGGCCGAGCGAGTCCGCAACGGACGAGGAGCGCGAGCTGGGCGCGTCGCTCGCCCGCACGCTAGGCACGGTGACGCGCGTGGAGATGTACCCCAAGTCGCGCATCGAGGTGAGCGCGCTGGTGCTGGAGGACGATGGGAGCTCGTTCGCGGCCGTGGTGACGGCGGCTGCGCTGGCGATGGCCGACGCCGGCATCGAGATGGCCGACTTGACCGCCGCGATGACCGCTGCCGTTGTCGACGGCAACGTCGTGGTCGATCCCAACGCGGAAGAGGAGCGGCGCGCGTCGGGCACGGTCATGGTGGCGTACATGGGAAACGTCGGAAAGGTGACGGACCTCGTGCAGACGGGCGAGATGGAGATCGGGCAGTTGGCGCACGCGATCCAGACCGGGTGCCAGGCGGCGACGCAGGTGCGCGGGCTGATCAAGGCGTGCTTGGAAAAGCAGGCGGGCAAGGTGCTGAAGAAACGCGGGCGCGGGGCGTAGAGACACTGTGTTGCGTTCGTACATGTAAAAGAAAGAGGCGGTGTGACAGAGAGAGGCGCGCGGCTCACAGCGGGGCGGGCAGGGCGACGAGGACGAACGAGAAGACGGAGGCGAGCAGGACGAGCGCGAGGACAGCGGCGACGCCGACTCGGTCGGGGCGGAAGGTCTGTGCGTGCGGGGTGGCGCGCTCGATCATGCGCGCGACGGCGCGGTAGCGGTACACGGCGTACAGAAACGCGAGCGCGGCGACGGCGGCCAGATAGAAAGCGGCCGCGGACACGACGGTGCGCGAGCGGAAGGCGGGGGCCAGGCGCAGCGTGACCAGCGCGAAGGCGAGCAGCTGCAGGCCCAGGCGCAGCCAGCTGTGGTACGTGCGTACGTTGGAGAGGTGGTCCAGGATGCGGCCGTGCTCAGGAAGCGAGCCCTTCTCCGGCCGCGGGTCCAGCTCGCGCAGTAAGGTGATGGCGCGCAGCAGCGCGCGGCGGTGCGCGAGGTTGGACACGCCCAGGTCGTCGCGCAGCTCGGTCGGTGTCAGCGTCTTAAGGACCGCGCCCGTGATCTCGTTGGTCGCGAAGGCTGGCGTGTACTGCGGGAGGCCCAGACCCTGCAGCCATGTTGTGACGTCGGCAACCGTTTCCACGGGCGGAGAGGTGGGTCGCGTGGCGGATGACATGATGCGAACGGGGAACGGTAGCTGAGCAGGAGACCGAGAGATCAAGTCGGGGTACGAGCAAGCGGAAGCTTGTCTTCACAAGCATGCCGAAGAGGGATGGATACGACACGATGACACGTATGACTAGTTGACACGTGTTACTTTCATGAAAAATACAAAAAGATTGGGAAATATTTACGGGAAATAGGACTGTAAGTGGAATGTAATGCGGCGGGTTCGTTGCAGTTTCTGGCGCCTCTCGCCTCTCTCAGGCCCAGGCCCTCAGCCGATCGCATCGGTGCCGAACGTGTGCTCGAGAACGCCAAGCCTTCCCGCATCATCTCATCGTCCTCATCGATCCTCGGCCGCGCTCGCACCGCCTACCCGCATCGCCCCGTCCTTCCTCGCAACTCCGATCCACCATGCTGCGCGCCCCTGTCGCCGCCCGCCTCGCCTCGCGCGCCGCCGGCCTCGCCCGTGCCATCCGCCCGGCCACGCCTGTCGCCGTCCAGCGCCTCGCATTGGCCACCCTCGCCCCCACTCGCCCAGCGCCAGTCAAGGCCTCCCAGCCCGATTTCGCCCCCGCTGAAAAGGAACCCGCCGCGGCTACCCCCACCGGCAAGATCTCTCAGGTCATCGGTGCCGTCGTCGATGTTCACTTCGGTAAGTCGCCCGCTCCCCATTTCCCATCCCGATCGCGACGAACGGACTACGCTGTCATGATCGCCGCCATTTTCTAGTCGTTTTCTAACGCGTTCCCGTCATTGCTGTGGTTTTCGTCCTTGCCCACTGCCGCGTAGAGTCTGGATCGCTCCCGCTCATCCTCAACGCCCTCGAAGTGCAGGACCATGACATTCGTCTCGTCCTCGAGGTTGCGCAGCATCTGGGCGAAAATACCGTCCGTACAATTGCCATGGATGCCACAGAGGGCCTGGTGCGCGGCCAGGGCGTCGTCGATACAGGAGGACCCATCATGGTCCCCGTCGGCCGCGAGACCCTAGGCCGTATTATCAACGTCATCGGCGAGCCGATCGATGAGCGCGGCCCTGTCAAAACCGACAAGTTCTACCCCATCCATCGGGAGGCTCCTTCTTTCACCGATCAGGATACCACCGCTTCCATTCTGCAAACGGGTATCAAGGTCGTCGACCTGCTCGCTCCGTACGCAAGGGGAGGAAAGATTGGTCTTTTCGGTGGTGCTGGTGTCGGAAAGACTGTGTTCATTATGGAGCTGATTAACAATATCGCGAAGGCTCATGGTGGATATTCCGTATTCACTGGCGTCGGCGAGCGCACCCGTGAGGGCAATGATCTCTACCATGAGATGATTGTGTCGGGCGTTATCAAGCTTGAAGACGATCAATCCAAGGCCGCCCTTGTGTACGGCCAGATGAACGAACCGCCTGGTGCGCGTGCCCGCGTCGGATTGACTGGCCTGGCTATTGCGGAGTACTTCCGTGACGAGGAGGGACAAGATGTGTTGCTTTTCGTTGACAACATCTTCCGTTTCACTCAGGCCAATGCAGAGGTGTCGGCCCTGCTCGGTCGTATCCCGTCCGCTGTCGGATACCAACCCACCTTGGCTACCGATCTCGGCGCCCTGCAGGAGCGTATTACTACCACTCGTCTTGGCTCTATTACCTCCGTCCAGGCTATCTACGTGCCCGCTGATGATCTTACCGATCCCGCCCCGGCTACCACTTTTGCTCATCTGGACGCCACCACTGTGCTGTCGCGACAGATTGCCGAGCTCGGTATCTACCCTGCTGTCGATCCGCTTGATTCCACCTCGCGCATGCTTTCCCCACTCATCCTTGGTGAGGACCACTACTTGGTTGCCCGTTCAGTGCAGGAGATTCTCCAGTCGTACAAGCAACTCACGGATATCATTGCCATTCTCGGTATGGATGAGCTCAGTGAGGATGACAAGCTCACCGTCGCCCGCGCACGCAAGGTCCAGCGCTTCCTGTCCCAACCCTTCCATGTCGCCGAAGTCTTCACCGGTATCGACGGCCGCTTTGTCGAGACGGACAAGACTCTCTCTGGATTCAAGGACCTGGTTGCGGGAAGCTTTGACGATCTCCCAGAGAACGCTTTCTACATGGTTGGTGACATCGACGAGGTTCAAGCCAACGCTCGTAAGATGGCCGCCGACATGGAGGAGGCTGCCTAAGTCGACATAGAGAGTGTGTGCGAGCGACTGAGAGCGAGAGTGAGTCGCCCTCTCGCCGATGATGTATGCAGTCGATCGATAGGCACACGTTTGTTTTTGTGATTTACTCTTTCGCTTATCTCGTTCGGGGTAAAGAACTTTTGCTACAGCATGCCACCGTCCGTTCCCTTTCTTCTCGAGCTTCCCTATCCGTTGGCTTGTGCGCTGAAAATGCGACAATGCGGAACACGCCTTGCTTAATCCCTCTAATCACGTGCCGCATGGCGAGCGCCGACCGGATCAGCGGCCACTTGTACTTGAGCAATACCTCCCACCCGGAGCGTCGGAACAATGCGCTGCGGACAACTTCTCCCCAAAACGGCGCCGCTCGTTTCGTCCAGTCATTCAAATCGACGGCGCGAAGCCCCGCCCGCACCATCTCAGTATCGTACTCGCTTGGCGGTGCTACCCGCGGTAGGCAATATTCCTCCATGATCCTGCGAATGGAAAACCGCTCTGCCATGCGCAGTGGAGGGCTCGTCTCGCGGATGCACCACGCCAGCATGACCATCTTTCCCCCTGGCTTGAGCACTCGCGCGCATTCCTGCAGGAACTGCTGCTTGTTCTCCATGTGCTCGCCGCTCTCCAAGCTCCAAACCACATCAAAGTGATCGTCCGGGAACCCTGTCTTCAGCGCGTTCCTCACCTCGTTGGTCACCCTCCCTCCCAGCCCGCGTTCCTCATTAAGCTCAGTCGCACGCTTCGCCTGATACGGGCTTAACGTGATCCCCGTCACCCGACAGCCCTCTCCGAAATGCTCTGCGAGATATCGCGACGCGCCTCCAATGCCGCAGCCGACGTCGAGTACCCTTGCTCCCGGCGGTAGCTTCTCGTTAAGCAGGCCGCCAAAGCGCAGCAGCTCGGACATGGTGCGGACTTGAGCCTCCCGTCCTTTCAACGTCTTGCCGTCCACTTTGTCATAGATGCCGTGGTGCATGTGCTCGCCCCACACTCGTTCCCATGCCGCCGAGCGAGCGTCGTAAAATTCAGCAATGTCCCGGCTCAGATCGACGCGTTTGTAGACGCGGGCTAGATGACGGGCTATGACGAGGCGCCGTAAAAGCCATCCGATGGCCGCTGCTATTAGAGCAAAGAGCCAGTATGGCGGGGGAGGGCGCGAAAACCCGTCAATGTTGACTACTGGAATGCCCGTCCTGTCCCTCGTGACATAGGATCGGGCCACATTGGCTGCAGGTCGCACGCTGCGCGATCCGGCGCTCATTCGCACGACGTTGACGCTGGGCTGCTCGCATTTGAAGACGCTCGTTGGTTGAAGCGTCTTGTGGATACCAAACGACGTCAAGAAAGTGCTTGTGGTCGTCGGAACAAATGCGATCTGCATCTGCATGTCTGCTGCCATGAGAGTGCTTCGAGCACAATGGGCGACAAGTGGGGGGGAGGGGGGGCCACCAAACAATGTAGGGGAATGACGATTCCTTGTTGGCAATACGCAGAAGTGTGTGGAGAGCACAAATTCGCGGCAACTAGTACAACGGGACAGCGACGGCTGGGGCTTACGATGGAGGGAGTGGCGATAAAAGCTATATCAAAGCATTTTACCAGATGGCGTGACGTGGATCATGATTTCCAGCTAAAATTGCTCCCGAATTTGGTGCAAAACAGTGAGATTAGGAAAAGGAGACCCTACCAGAACTCTACGTTACAAGCCATACAAGAGGTTGCAGTTCACTTTACGTCTCAGCCCTGCTAATGGAACACGGGTTACCGAGTCCTACTTGCATTTACTGCTTCTCTTTCGAAGATGATCTCGCCTGGTCAAGCACGAGATTGATGCAGACCTGCAGCTCCTCAAAACGTTCGTCACACTCTGGCGAAGTCTCGACATCTCCCTGCAAAACATCAGTTGCACAATGATCCACACGTCAGATTCCAGCGGATCCCCTTACGCCCCCGCCGATCTTGTCTCTTTGAAGGGAATAGAGGCTGTCAGGCAAACAGCCAAGCTCAGCGAGTGTTGTGCAAATGCGGCGATGCGATTGCTTACCTTGAGAAACTTGCCCCTGTACCACTCCTTGAAGCATGCATCGTATTTTTCCTTTTCTACGGCGCACGCTTTCAATGGATTGACGCGTTGCATCTTCTCGTTTCCCATCTGTGACGCTTCGTTCAACCTTCGTACTGCTTAACCTCCACTCCACCGCAAAACGCTCTCAGCAGACACGGCCTTTCTTCCAGCCGACGTGCAAAAAAAAACAAAACAAAAGATGGGATGAAAATTTCTGCCCCAAACTACTGTAGAAATAGGGCGGCGCATGCTGTGCCTAACGTGAAAACAAGGGCATTCTTTTCAGACGTTACATTTACATGGCGCACTAGCTTGACTAAAGTTTCCGATACATTGCAAAACGTCGCGGCGCGGCAGAGGCTCGCCAGTGCACAAGCGTGACGATGGCTTTGTGCGGCACCTGCTTGTCGCTCTGTGAGCGAGGCGAAAGGCTGAACACTGTGCATAATCCCCTTCTCTCAACCTCCTCCGTGCTCACGATCACGGCAACACAAGCCACGCGCCAAAAAGTACAAAAGGATCTTAGCCATTACTACAGAACGGATCCCTCTCGCATCGTTCGAACCCCACAGCGCGCCGCAGTTCAACCAACGCCACTTACAAGGTCTGGACTTGCCAGCTATTGTTCTGTCATCGTTCCCACCCTCGTCCGCACGGGAGAGAGAAAAAAAAGTTGCACATGAGGCGTGCAGAAGGGAGAGAGAGAGAGAGAGAAATATAACAGAAAAGGATGGGGCAGGCGGGTTTTGAAGGTTGAACAAGATATTGGTGGGCAGATGGGCTTGTGTTTGAGGAGTAAGCATAGGGATGAAATCACATGATTTCGCAACAAGCGCTGCCCTTCTTGTTTATCTTTTCCTTGACGTCCTCCGACGCCTTCGTTGGTACGCGTAGGGAAATGTGTACAGTCGTGAGATTGTCTGGCCCCGATGCAAATTTACACTCTGAGTGTGTGGAGGAAAAAAGAAAATGGGTGTCAGAAAGCACGGTGGCAATAGGTAGCGACAAGAGTTGTAAAAACAGGAGTAAAGGTACCTTGGAGGGTCTTTGCATCGTCTAGGAACTTGCCCAGGTGAAGGATTCGGATTTCTTCTGTCTTTGCAGGTCCGGAGATTGCATTTGGATTTGACTCTTTCAGGAAGGCGACAAGCTCTGCGCAGTCACAAAAACGTAGAGTGAGTAGCGGATACGATGCGTTGGCCGAAAGCGGGGCAAAACGAAGAGGGTAAAACGAAATAGTAAGGCAGAGACAACGTGGACGGAGTGGTGTTAGACAATTGAGCAAGGCAGAAGGCGGGGCGCAAGCGCAGACGTAAAGGCGAAGCGAAACGGTGACACGGACAGCGGGAGTACAGCGGGTGGACGCAGGCAGAGAGACGCGAGGCGACGGGCGTGCACGGAGGGAAAAGCGATGAGCAAGGAGGACGTACCTTTGGGCTGTTGTTCAATAACTTTCTGCTTGACATGGTGTATGGTGGACGGTGGCGGAAAGAAGAGTCGAAAGGACTCGCCGTTGATGAGAAGAAAGCGGAGCTGGCATTGTTCATTCGGGACCTGTGCCGGGGGGTGTGCGGTGTGCGCGTGTTCCGCAAGCGGGGCCTTGGCTTGGGCAGCAGGCGGCGGCGGGGTTGCGGAATCGTCCATGGC